TGATCGAACGTATTGATCCTGAATCCACTTTAACAGCCGACGAATATATTAATATAGACTCTACATTGCAGATTGAGGATAGATTGAGTGATGACGACATAATTGCTTTGGTAAATGGTGAACAAGTTGAGGAGGAATGCAGCAATTCACAAGTCGAACAGAAAATAGTGGCTGCAGACGCTGTGAAATCAATTGATATATTAACAGCATTCCTCAAACAAAGAGAGATGGACATTGGCCTTAGCGAAAATTTTATATACGAGTTAAATCAATGTAAAAAAAATATACATAAATCAATCTTTCTATCCAAGGTTCAATCTAAAATTAGCAGTTATTTCACAAGCGAATAAAGAGTAGTGTTTACGACATTATTATCTGGCAGCTTGAGTACTTACCCCGTTTATCCGCACATATGTTCTCCCCAAATATAACCTTCGGTTTATAGAGTAAACCCCGCCAATTCGAAAACCCCGATAATACGAAGAATAATTGCTGCACCGACGTCTTCGAATTATCGGGGTTTGCCTTGTATCTAGGTGTCATGATAGTTACTTTATATTATTCATCCTTCATGCCTGCATTGACACTGTTTGAAACTTTCCTGCTTCTTGGATATTACCCATACATTAATTTCTCGTTAGGAGTATCTTTTAACAAATTGTAGTAGACCCTTTAATCTCACCAATGCTTATTTCTTGCTCTAAATTGATCAATTTATTATTTAAGTAGTAGTTTGCAAATAAATGGTTTTCAGGTACTGAAGTCGTTGGTTAAGGAGAAAGTTGATTGGTATTTGGACAAACGGGGTGTCGAGATAGAACAGAGAAGTGGGGGAAAAGCTTCTGTTTGCATTTAATCAAGACTTGTTACTGATCGTATGATAATGTGTATTGCTGTAAGTGATGTTTTAGTCAGGCTATTCGCTATTGAAGACAAGTCATATGATGATATACAGTATGCCATTTTAAAAAGTCGTTGATGTACTGTCCGGTAGACAGACTAGTTGTATGTGTAAAGGAGCATGCGTTGATAGTCGATGCAAGTTGTCAGAATTGTAATATAACAAAGCTTGAACCACCCACATCTTTTTAGCAATAAGGTGGTAAACGTGTACTGATGCGATAACCCCATGATAATAACGTGATTGAATTATAATATTTTTATTGTTATTTGTCGTTACTTATCGTTCAAATTCTATTATTTTGATTACTAAATACAGATTATCAATTTCCGTTTACGATTCATCCATTTCATCATCCTCTTCTTCACTATCCTCAGCACCTTCTTGTACATTAATTTCGAAATCTAACTCTTGATCACAACCCATATAAGAATCTGACAAAAAGTAAACTTTCAAATCGTGCTTCCCGATTTCTGGCGGACAGGTGAAGTCTACTTTGACTTCAAGCGTCCTGTTCATAGTAATCCTTTTAATTCCGAGCAGAGAATTCTTCTTACTGTCACCTACAACAATCCACCATCCCTCGTCCTTCTTTTGTGGATAATAAGGAGCAACAACGGGACCAACAATAGTCTCTGTATCTTCATCTTCATCCATTTCTCTCGTCAATTTAACATTAATTGATGCCTGGGATCCGGCGACTAACTCATCCTCATCTCGCACTGCGAATTGAAAATCGATACTGGGATACCTATTAACGAAGCGAGCCACTTCGCGAAGTTGCCGGCTATCCATGCGGAGAACATCATTCCGATCTTCATCCTCCAACTCCATAAAATCGAACACAGATTCGACTCCTTTCTCCTCACATCGTTTGATTAAGTCGCTTGTAAAGTATGGAATTTGTTTTAACGGTGGATCACGATCCCACATGGCTTGTACGCACATCTGTGCCAACTCCATTGCCGCCAATGCCGGATTCAGCCATCCGTTAGAACTGATCACATCAACTATAGCCTGCAAAAGAGAGATCACCTTGCCTAGTACAACTATCTGATCTGATTGCAAGTCAGGTGGTAGTTGGGTTCTGGAAAAGTGCGATTGGAGGAGTATGTTCGTTTTAATGTGCGGTGAATTAAACTTCGGATTACCAAGCTTAACAGGTAACCTATCATATATCTTCTTGAGTAAGATGTCTTCGTGATGTCTGATAGGTATGCTCTCGAATTCAGCAGCCGACGAGACGATCTCCAAGAGTCCCTTGAGCTTCGTCTTTTCTGTAAGACTCATGCCGAACATCTCAACAGTGATATAACTGACATTATAATAGGCCGCAATCATACCAAGATTCAGAGGAGATACATTCATTTCATCCTCGAGAGTGATACATTTGGATGTAGTCAAATCGTTAACTGTTGTCTCGACTAATTCTGACAGGTGATCTGACAAATGCCGGTGGTCGGACCCCTGCATTGCATAGTAATTGGGATTCTCAACCATACGACGATATAGGAAAGTCCATGTGAGGTAGTCAACAGCATCTTGTTTGTTACGTATAGTCTTTGTAACTATCTCTGCATTGAAATGGTCGTGCAGGTGACGATCAAGATGAGATTCTACAGGCAATGCTTCGTACAAGAATTTCTTATAGTAATCTTTCTTAATGCCTTGGCACATTAATACGCATCGGCCAGTATCATCTTCTCTCGGCCGGCATGCACGACCCATCATTTGAAGAACATCTGTTATTGGATAGTCAGCATAGCGGTGTTCTTTTCCTTCGAAATATTGAGTTCCCATAATAACTACCATGTGACAGCTCAGATTCAATCCCCAGCATGTATCTCGTGAAGCAACTACAACCTGAATTGCGCCTGAATCGTACAATTGTCCTACTATCCTTTTATCCTGTTTACTAAGGGCTTCGTGGTAAAAACCAACTCCATGACGCAAAGTCTCTACTAAAGCTTTATCAGTTACACGACTCAGATGCTCCTCGATATCTTCCAAGTTGGCATGTAAAAAACGATCAGGAGAGTCATCAGCAGCGCAAAACGTGAGCAGGTCAACTGCAGTCAATCGACATTGTTTCCTTGACGGTACAAAGATAAGCGCAGGCCTATCTGCTGAATAGCTGGTAATTGCAACATATGTAGGCTTAGCCATTGCCATCATTAGAGAGGCAAAGTGTGGAATGCCGTAACTTTGAATATGTATCTCCAGGGGAACGGGTCGTACGCTTGGATGAAAATTGAATATAGTTTGCGGAGAACATCCAACCCATTCACCCAAATCTTGAGCATTGGCAAGTGATGTGCTCAGACACACTATTCTGATGGGGTTGCCCGTATCGTGAGCGATAAATCTCATACGGGACAATACTATTTCATAAGTGGGACCAACATCACTGCCAATGAGATGTAATTCATCCGCAATAACTAATGCGATTGCCTGTACATTCTTTCGTTGTCTCCACCTGCGAGATAAAACATCCCATTGAGTTGGCGTAGCAAAAATAACATCACCTGCTTCCAATAACTTCAAATCAGCACTCGTCTCCCCGGTAAGCGCAACGACGTTCTTCCCCTCTTTATAGTTGCTAAACTTCTGTTTCCACTCAGTCATCTGTAAATCGATCACTTCTTGGAATGGGGCAATGTATACACATCTGCCTCTGTTTGATTTACTCCACAGACGGAGAAGAGCAAACTCAGCACATACAGTTTTACCACTTCCAGTTGGAGCTCCAACAAACACATTATCATCGCTATTATATAAAGCGTTGAATACTTGAGTCTGGATGGGATTAAACTTATCAACCCATGAACTATACAATACTTCAGCTTCACGATTCCGCAACGCAGAGACGGGTAATGGCTGCAAATCGAGAAGTTCTGTGTGTGGGGGGTATTTCTTAGGAAGAATCAGGTGTCTAAATGAAATTGGTAACTTGGTCTCACAATGAAGCCATCTGTCTGAGATTACGGATATAAAATAATTGGGTGGCAATGGTTCGAACAGAGGTACGGTGAATGTAATAGTATGATCTTCTTCGGCGTATTTCTGTTTGAGGATGAATGAATCATGATAGAGAATAACTTCGCCATCCACATCTTCTACTAAGACCCAAAATGCTTCAGCTGTTCCGTGAACTTTTTCATCCCACTGGAAATCAGGTGTAATCCTGAGTTCTATTCTCAGTAATGATCGAGTAATTGGCTGAACATATGTCTGAATATCTAGTTTCGGAAATTGGTGGACGAATTTATGAACTGTCTTTCCGGCCTTGGGAATTCCAATAAATTCTCCGATTTCCTGCGGATTAAGATCGAAATATCTCTCCCATGGAAAGTCCTTCTTTTCAATTCTTTTGATCAAGTCTAATGGCAATTGTCTAAATTGTCGCAGTGGAGTCATTGATAGCCACATACGTTTATCTACCATTTTACAGAGATCCAAAGCTCTTCTGGATAATTGCGCCCATCCACGTCTCAGACATATCTCAAACATTGCTCTTAGAATTCTGTTAGCAGATTGAGTGACATAAACCATGTCTGAAACAAGAGCGAATCCCTCCAAGCTAAGTTTAGATATGTAGGCTTGTAGTAGGACATTTATCTTTGCGGTTGATTCTTCGATACCTTCTTTCACAGGTTCAGGCACACGTTCTAACAACTTGGATAGTTCAAGCTTCTCTTCCTCTCTCACGGGGATGTGTTTGAATTCATCAGAGAGCGCAAATACTCTGAATAATTCGATGTGACCCATCATTGGCTTCAAATGCTGATTATAGGTAGCCATTGAGCTATGAGTGATATAGTAGTGTGAAGCGATACGACCCAATTCTGTAACTTGGAATCTACCAGTTTTCTTGTCATATTTAATTAGATTCGATTTATCAAGTAGAAGAGCGGCAGAATGGATCAGATCAACGCGTTTCTGCTCTAGAGTAGGATCTTCCTCGTAGTCCTCTAATTTAATTCCATATAATGTTGGATTACGCAACATCCTCACGTAGAGATAGGTATATCCTAGCCATTGTACTGCTTCATCACGATTACGCACTGTGCCAAGGACGATTTCTGCATTCAAGTTATCGGCCAATTTACTAATAAACTGACTTTCAATCGGCAGTTGTTGATTGAGAAGTGACAAATAATATTGTAGCTCGGTATTCGAAGTGATTGTGATACCTTCGCCCTCAGTGTCATATTGAGGCCTACCAGCTCGACCTAACATCTGCAGAACGTCCTCCGGACTAAGTTCGACCCATCGGCCCTTCTCAGGAGAGTATATTTGGGTTCCTTTGATAATGACTGTATGCGCGGGCAGATTGACGCCCCACGCCAGGGTAGCTGTGGAAACCAACACCTGAATATGCTTACCGTCAAATAATTCCTCTACCAATGTACGATCAGCACGGGTCATACCGGCGTGATGGATAGCAAAACCATAAGGTAACAAGTCTTGAAGATTGGTATCTTTGACCGTCGTTGATTCAGTTTGTAAAATTTCACGACTAGCAGAATCCTCTCTCAAGAATCTACCAATTGAATCTTTCTCTAGGGCCATGTCACGAATAGTCTTGGCCGTCTTGGCTGTCTCTTTGCGTGAATGCACAAATATTAATACCTGGTTGCGACCAGCTCTTTCCATGACTTTTTGATAAGTTACTTCGTTCATTACTTGGAATCGCTTTATAGCCTTTTTCTCTGTTACGCCAATAAATTCTTGTTTCAATGGACATGGTCTGTATGTACTATCAAAAAAGAAGAGTCCTTTTTTTTTGTCTACTCGTAAGAAGGTGGCTACATCATCGTAGTTGGGTAACGTAGCTGACAATCCAACTAGTCTAATCAACTCTTGGGTCTGTTCCATATGTCTGATAGTCCGAGATACTATGCTCTCTATAACTGGACCACGATCGTCATGTAGAAGATGGATCTCATCGATAATTATAAGTTTGACCAAATTAGTATAACTTCTATCCGTTGCTTTCCTAGTAATCACGTCCCATTTTTCAGGAGTAGTAATAATAATTTGTGTCTCTGCTATTTGTTGTTTAGTAAGTTGTCGATCACCTGTTAACTCAGCTACCTTGATGCCATATGGTTGTAATCTAACCGAAAAATTGCCTACCATTTCTTGCACCAGTGCTTTCATTGGTGCAACATATACGATCTTGAATGCATCTAAATCAATCACACCAGTGTCCTCATCGCGATGCTTGCCAAGTTCATTTAATATACAGAGCATAGCTACATTCGTTTTACCAGCACCTGTCGGTGCACAAAGTAATATATTCTCATCCGTCGTGAACGCAGCAGGATATACTCTACTTTGTACTCTGTTGAGTTTTTCAGCACCTTTAAACGCAGCCTGAGCCCATTCAGGCATATCAGTGATCAGTAATTCTTTCTCATCAGCCGCGAACGGTTTCGGTTTAGGAGCAGGCACGTGAATTTCCTCATAGCCCTTGAATAATCGCTTGAATGAGCCATCAGGTAATTTACACTTTTTATTGGTCATCAAATGTCCACCTTGAGCGAACATCAGTGATTCTAGATCGACAACACTTTTTGGTGCAACAGTCACTCCCGGGGGTAGCGTAGCCTTAACAGCAGCAGGTAAAGGTCCCTGAATAGGCGCCGGTCTCTCGTCTATTTCCATGGCATTTTCAACAACCCCTTTGCGAGCAGCCCCTTCACCTCTGCGTATCCTCTCTCCGCCAAGATCTTTAAGAATCCATTTCACTCCCTTTTCGTTCATTTCACGTTCCAATTGTTGTCTCTCGGTATCTGTACTGGCTCTAGCCAACTTGGTACACCATAATATAAGATCTCGATTACGGGTAAGTATCTTGACTAGATCAAATTTATCATAATCAAACAAATTCATCAATTCGTTTTCACAATCGCGAGTATTAATATCAGATGCCAAAATCTGCATTGTACTGGTAGTCTTCTCTTGCGCTGTATGTGGATCCGAATAGTAGTTGGCTATCAAACGCTGTAGCCAGAACGCGTCGATATCGTGAGGAGAAATCTTCTGATCTGCCTGAGCTCCTGTTATCTTAACCGATTTACTAATTTCTGGACCTATTACAGTTTTAAATCCTTCATTCTCATCTTCTGATAAGCGTGCTTTGTCTTCATCCTCTTTCACAGTACCCACACCGAGCACACCAGTTGTTTCTGCCTCAACGCCTGCCTCGTCATCATCTTCTTCTGATTCAACCTCAAATTTTCCGTATTCATCTTCTTCCTCTTCCTCTTCGTCAAATACTACAGCAACGCCTAACTCATCGTCTATTTCACCGGCGCGCTCACCGTCCTTGTCGATGTCCATAGCATCTCCAGTTTGGTAATCTGTGATCTTCTTCCCAAGATTAACAAGTTGTGCAAACTTTTCAGCCTTAAGTGTTCCAATAATGCTTTCCATCTCCCTCTTCTTATCATAATCTTTCAAGGTATCAGTTTTCAGTATTTCCAATACATTATCAGCTGCACTACGAATGACATCTTGGACTTGATCGCCAAGGTTCTGGTGAACGAAGGCGAGAATTAACTCATATGTTTCACGGGTTTCTTTTGTTCTGGGACGATAGCTTAAACCTTCAAGATCTTCCGTAGCAGCCAGGACATTAGAGTACCCATAGGCTTTCTTTAGTGCACTCTCCTTCTTCTTCCGTCGTTTCATCTCAGCAGCTTCCTCGGCCCTCAGTGCCTTTTCTTTTTTCGCTTTCAGATCTTTTATACTAGTCCTCTGTGCTTTATTTCCAAAGTCTTTTGGGTTGATCTTTCCCCATAGTGATTCTGGTTCTCCAGAGGGTTCATGATCTCGACGAGGCAGCTCTGATCTGTTTGCCTGAAGTACTAGATTGGAGTTGGCAGTATATTGATATTGATTGCCTCTAGCTATTTGTTCTGCCATCTTGTTCGTAAATTAAGGAACGAATAAATCGCGGGCGTTAGAGAGAATGAAAATACTTGCCTGCGGGTTGAAGCACGATCGACTCAAATATTGGCGTTACACAACATTATAAAAAATTGTGCAGGGTCATAATAATACTACTACTACTAATAAGAAAATCTTTTCACGCCATAAAATTTTACGGATCGAACGTTAAAAATGGTCCATATGAGAAGTAAAAAATTTGCTAACATTTGGTCATGATAGACTAATACTATGGGCCTGCAAAGCAATAATGGAGCAATGTCATGTGTTTTAAATTTGCGAATCAGAGATCAGCATAGAGCGATAGAAAGTTGGTTTAGTGATCAATATTGATGATGTGTCGTTCTATATCTGGGATAATTATTACATGATCTATTTCGGGTATGTGAGATCTATTTCGGGTGTATTACTATGATCAATATACTGGTAATGGAACACACAGTAATACGATTGACATTTCCGGTCAGAGATATGCGTAACGCGTGAAAAGCTCACTATTCAGGCGATTGCAAAGCAATCATAGTTAAAAATCACATCCCACAAAGCTATCTGGGGTATAGGAACGGCACGAGATCGTTTCACCAAAACTCGCAATCAAAAAATCACGTGTAAAAAATTCATTTCTTTATTATCCAAAAATCCATTTCTTTATTATCCAAAAAATAAACTACAAAGTCGGGTACAATTACATCATTTTTTGGCGCGGTATCCCTCAACCCTAGCTCTCTTGCTGGCGGGGGATTTTTCAACACACGCCCTATCCTTCAACAAACCAACGATAACGCCCAATACCTTTCTCACACTCTTGCGTAAAGTGAGGTGTCTTCGGAATCCTCTTTCAAAGCATCTTCGGTGAATTCGATGGTGTACGGCAACTTACTGCCTTGCGAAATTTCGTTAGGGCTATATAGGAGAAAGTGCCAATCCTTCCCTAGAATTTATGGATAATTTTGAGAGATGTAATCATTAAAAATACGATTAAAATTCCATATTTACCTGTTGTAACGATACCATATAGGTAATCAAAGTCGTCGTCAAATGCCTCACTGGCTTTTCGTTTTTTCTTGTTTGTTTCGAACGAGCTCTCCAATTGCGCAATATTTTGCGCGTACCCCATTGGGACTTTGTGCTGTTTATCCTCAGTGATGCAAATCAAATCCTCGGTTTCCTATAATCAACGCATTAGAAATTATTTGGCTTTTACATGTTAACCATAGAAAAATATACCTTGATTGCGTAATCGACTCGGCCTGTACTTTTTTCTCCCGTGATTTCATGTTGCGGTCTCATATTAAACTCCTTTTGTGTGTCATCTCGTACGATATGGAGGGCAGAATGTAGTAAAGCCACGACGTATTCATTCCGCATACTTTCCAAGCTATCGACGAGTAAGGTCCCGTAATTTTTCAGTCGGACTAAAATCTCGGCCATACAATGCGCAAAATGCTTATCATTGTCTTGAATCTCATAGGTTGGAAGGGTAAATAGCGGGATGGATTCTGTACCATCACTATCGAGGTCATATCTTAATAACACTTCTCTTAGACTGCGGTACGATGAAAACGCCCTCAATTTTTTCTCCTTGATTTCCTTGGCATAGTCGGCAAGAGTCGTAGCAGGCCCTCTCTTCAACCCATCTTGCATGAATTCTTCCTTGGTCAATTTGAGGAATGTGCGTCCGGTGATCTCATTGCGTAAGATTTCGAAATGAGTTTCGTCAAGTTGCAAGTCTTTCTGCTCCTTCAAAAATTCGATAAGATTTTCCGTATCATACTTTCTAACCAGTTCAGCTAAAGTGGGAGCCTGTTTTTCTTCGGTCACACTGCTAGAAGACGAAGCTGGAGTTGACATTTTGAGTTATATACGATTTTTTGGTGGATTTTATTGGTAGACTGCGGAATGGTACACAAGAAAAAGAAGACAAAGCTGGAAGAGAAGAAGAAGCGTCTGGAGAAGAAGCAGGAAGCAGGACTGGAGTTAAAAATCGGAATAATCCTAACTTTTGAGGGGTGATTAGCAGTTATAAGCTATTGTGTTTAAGGTGTATTGGGAGGAGTTTTATAAAAGAATGGTAGATTGGGTATTAGTATATGATGGGACATGGACATGAGAAATGTATTTGATTTCACTATACGTGTATCACGTTACTTTTCAGCAGAAAATTTTCCAGGTGATAGCCATCCTCCTCTCATACTCCATACTTACCCTGGCCATCAACCAACCTTATCATTAGAACCATCCTATCCCACAATCATTCTACAAACACTTCAATTACATAAACATTCATACCCATATTAATATACATATATCAACAATATCTTTAATTATAATTAGTATTACTCCACTTACTTTCCGGGCTTTTTAGCCAAGCTCTTTATTGTACCTCTGTATGCTTTGCATATAAGTTAAAATTAGCTTTAGCAGTTTATCTGTAGTTAGGCAATAAAGTTCTAAATTTTTAAAAAAAACAGGTCACACGATTACATCATGCATAAAAAGTATGTTGATCGATTTTTCAGGCATGTGACTTTTTACGTATGATAGGTTGGTAATTTATTTTATTGATTATTATGAAATGTAAAGAACCAATATCGCTAGCCACTGTGTGACTGCCTCCGGCAAGACCATTCTCGCGATCCACGGGTATGAAATTCATCGAACCAATTTCGCTAATGTTAGTTTTCTCATTTATCTTAGGACTAATCGCGGTATCATTTTTTGGTAGTTCAGTAATCTCATCAGCAAGCCAGATTATCCTCACTTTTATTAAACTTAATTTTTTCTATTGGATCCATATTTTTTCCGCGTATACCAGAGCGGTTGCGCTCGGCTCGCCTCACCTCTTCTCCGGAAGGTTTCGAGTCATAGGGTTAATTTTTTTATTATTTAATAAAAGTTGATACACTCTTTCTTCACCTTGTTCTCCAACTATTTCAGCGATTGAGTTAGCCGGAGTTAAATGCGAACTTAGTTTTGAGTTGAAGTTTGTTAGTCATAAACCACTAGGCTGCTTTTTTTGGTTGTCCAATTGTAGGAGATAAGAAATACGGCAGCAAGGTGTAATATTTACTTAGATCACTATCCTTGATTATATTTTTTTCGACATCTCCACCAACGACAGGTTTTGGCCGTGCCAGCTCTGCTGATATAGCCTCCGATTTCAGACACTCAAGTTCACTGTGTGAGGATCAAGAGCCTAAGATGACGTATTCCGATAGGTGTCACCAACAACGGTACACAGATGATTGGAATGTAAGACAAGTGCCGAACGGTGATACGGGCAGCAAATATTTGCTGCTAATGCAGTAAAGTAATACCGGCAGCAAATATTTGCTGCTATTTGCGCAGCAACGGCTAAAGTAACAATAGTGATGGTAGATTAGTAATTAGAATTTAGATCGATGTTAAAAATAGATCAATTAGTAGACGATAAAGTATATAAGCAGCTTAGAAGTCGTTTAGCATCGGTGTGTTCTTAGTGT